ATAGCTTGCAGTTCTTTTAATGAGATGCTAGTAAAAAGTCAAGGAGATTTCTCCAGCTTAAAGAAGTACACAGTAAAAGCAGCCCTACCCATGACCAACATTTCTGTATGCTTTGTAGGTTAGCTGGCTGAAGAAAGCTTAGTGCATCTTTATCCATTTGCCATTTAAAAAATAAATAAATAAATAAATAAATAAATAAATAAATAAATAAACTAGGAGCACCAACCATCATTTCACAACAGATGCCAAGCTATGATAAGTATGCCTCTTGAATAGACTGACAACTCAAGCGCATCATCCAAAGAATTAATGAACTAACATAAACCTGTTACACTTACTCAGATACCATATTCAACCTAGAGCCAACTAACTTGGACTTTGGCCCTGAGGGCTAAAGATTGGACTCAGACTATGTTTACCTCATTTAACCAGCATATCAGAGCAGAGTATCAGCGTAGAGAGCATTGCTCTTTTTAAAATAATAAACAACAGGCAACTGCTTATGGTACGGTTTTGATTAAATCTTAAAAGAATCATACTTTAGATCCATAACTTTCCATTTCCGTGTTTTGGGCAGATCCATCTGATGCAAAAACGTTCACTTTAGGAGCAACTTTAGACTTGATTTCAACCTGCCTGACTACATACTTGGAAAAATGAAAATGTTAATTTCTTCTTTGAGAATACCAGAAGAGAAAATTTGAGTTACTTTCTTTGTTGGATTTACTGCAATTTTACTTGAAGAGTTTTATCAGATTCAGATAATAATGAATCGACATCTTAGCTCTAGTCTATGCAGTAACGTTTAAAAAACAACCACAAGAGTATACATGTTAACATTAACAGAAATATGTGTTGCTTTTCTGTTTTAACTGAAATCACAGTAGACACCATTATTTTTTAATATTTCTTTGTAAAAGAACCTTAATTTTGTCAATTTTTACAAAATAATCTTATATTGATACATTCTTATCCTGTAGTGATCTGGAACTCTTTGGCTAAAGCAACTAAAATGACAATAATAGATTAGCTGGGACTTCCTCATGCTCCAAATATCAATATACTTCCTATGGAAGTGAGCCAATTTAGAGGGGGCAGTCGTCCTGAGCATTAGCTCATCAATCCCACTGATAACCCTGGTAGGATTAAGTTTACAGACCACTGTAATCAAGTAACTGGCTCATTATGGGACATTATGGTATAGATCCAAAGATCAATGCATTTCTTGCATGTACATACATACCAGCATTACTAAAACACAATACTGATTACAGCCAATGACAAATTGATTGGTAAGATGAGCTCAGCACATTTTTCCCTAACAACAAGGTTTTAGAGTGATCGCTTTGCATAGTAATTACAGGAGTGTAACATTCATCATTGGCTCTGATACATATCTGCAGCTGGCAAATCACAATCAGATACAGTAGGTATCTAATCTGTGATCTCAAATCAAATTAGGTCTATTTAGACAACCTTGGGGACGTGGTGATGAAACCCTGAAAAAAAAATTAGGAGCTGGAAATTTAATTGTAACGACGGTTATTAGTGAGATAGGAAGATAACAGAGTGTAGGGGTGTTAATCTGCATTAAAATAAAGATGGAAAGAAGATATACAAGATGTTTGATCGCATAAAAAATTTATTTCTAGTGCTGATAGAGCAGACTTTATTTTGTACTAGAATTAAAAACAAAGTGCGTAGAACTTCTTCTATGTTCTAAAAAGCCTTTGGCCGAATCTAAGGTGACGAGACCTTAAGATGCCACTTTTCTAATTATAGCTGCAGGTGATATTTCAGAGCTGCTAGGTAATGGCAGAACCCATAGGGACAGTAGAGAATTCATCAGTGCTTATTATTAATCATCCCCCAGCAGTGTGATGAGAGACTGGAGCTCTGATACCCACTGGACCACTCAATGTCATTCCAAATATGGCTGGAAAATTAAACCCAACAGCCTTATATAAAACATAGGCTAACAGCAAAAGAGGATATGATTATTTCTTCATGTATGTTTACAATTATGAGCATGAAAGTAAATTCCCTTACATTAAATGTATCCTGATAGCTGTCAGGAATACCTTCCTATGTGAAATACAATTTCTGAGCCAAAGGAATTATAATTTGTTGGGGAAAAAATGTCCCCCCTTTGTTAAAACATGGTGTCTCTACAAAGTGTTGCATAGTGAAGGAAGTGTGTGTTAACTTTGCAGTGCAGAGCCCACGTTTTAAAAAAGCCCCTTGAGACCTGTTAGCTGGACTCCTCATTTCAATGTGTCTGTTTCAGGTTGAGAGAAAGCTTGGCCTGGCCCCTTTACAAGGCACGCACTGCCATTCACCCGCAAAACCCATCCAACAGCCAGACGTCCATCTCCAAGTTTTAACAAGACACTTTAGGCTCATGCCATTCTTTTCTTACAGCTTTTCATCTTAGGACCTTATATTTTTCACTAAGTGATTCACCAATCCACTGCCCATGGACGGAAGTCAGCCAGTTTTATCCTAATCATCACCGACTTGTGATTATTTGGTCCAGACAAATTATTTTACCTTTTATTTTACCCATTATGGTTGGCTTCATCCATACTATATGTGTCCAAACCCTAATTATATAGACTAGACATTATTTCCTCAATTTTGGTTTGACTGTAGTAAAAAGTCAGATAAAGATCAGGGAAATATAAATCAATGTAAACAGTAGAGAAGCACTGATTTGGCTTTTTCTGACCATTAGCAATAACCAGTTTTCTGTAAGTTTCCATTTGAGCTTTGACCTGCCAACTCAGATTTTGTCAGGTTATAAAAATACACAAAGATACATAATGTAAAAATGTAAGGGTTCGTAGTTCAAAAGCAAATCAAATTATAAAATTATGGCTTTCTTAATAATCACTGTCATGTCAAAAAAGGGCTTTAAGTTATATTCTGTTAGTTCAAGTATTTATCGACAGAAAATGGCTACAGTTTCTGCTCTTGATGCATTTCATAAATAGAAAAAAACAAATCTGGTTTAGAGCCTTTGATCTGCCAAAAGACTGGAAAATCAAAATTCCATTCCAAGGAAAAAACTGGAATTGGCAAATGGATTGAAATAAAACCAGAAACCAGTTTTTGCTGGTAACAAACAAATCTGTCAGCCTTTTTCTAACTTTAGTGGAACATATTATATAACTTTTTAATATAAAGCTTAAAATCAGTCGGATCAGATTTTTTGAGGGGAGGAATTCAGGATCTTAAGACATTCCCACTGACACACTTAAACATTACACAAATATGTCGATGTCAAATGACTTATACTGAATTCTTAAGTGAAACAACTAAAAATTTAAAAAAATATATGTATTAAGAAAGTATATTTTGAGATGCACTAACCAATCAGCCAGAATTTGGAATTACAGTTTTCTCATCATTGGCTATGAGTGGTAAGTGGCAGATCAGATCAAGAAATGTCTGAAATTTTGATAAAAGGTAATAAAAAATGTAAATTTTGACTGGTACACAACAAACAAAATCTACTTTTATGAGCATTTTTTGAGAAAATAAAAATTTTATATCAGTTAATTTAAAGCATAAATGGGGCTAAATTTGTTATTTGTAAAACCAAACAACCTGCATAGCCTATTTTTACATTTTTATGTTTTTAGTACAAGTAAAACGATCCAAATAGGTTCAGAATCAAAAAGTTAGGCTTCAAAGAAATTAGGACATCAGGACTGGGCAGCAAAGGCCTAATGGGTGCATTCTCTTAAAAAAAAAAAAAAAACAGAACAAAAGATTAAAAATAAAATATCTTTAAGGAAAGAATTATGCAGGATTTTCAATACAACTTGAAGTAGTAAAGTGGTAGATGGGACTGAGGCAATAATGCAACCACCAGAATATCTTAAGGCATTCTGCTATGGATGGATAACCAGAGAAGGGATCAAGAGGACCCCAGACACATTGGCATCTATTGTACTCTACTGGCTTATTTGACCACAGGGGTTCAGCTGCCTCCAAACACTCACACACAAATACGCTTGCATGAAAACTCTCATCAGGCCAAAAGGACAGCACGCATCATTACAAACCTGCGGCGTCGCTCCTATCCCTCTAACCCGATCCAACCCAAAGCATGGCCCTCTGACCTAATCTCCCATTGCTCTTTTGGCAAACTGTCAAAGCCATCATTCACCGTGAAAAGACACGAGAGACACTTGACTCCTTTACTCTGCTGGCGACTGACTTTCACAACTCCTGCCCCCCAACCACCACCTCCAACACACACACACATCCCCTGCAGCTCATTAGCACCACAAGTTTTCATTTCTAAGATGTATACAACGAGACAAAGCTTTGAAAAGCAACACCTAAATGGATTTTTTAATATTCGGAATCTGTTTTAAAAAAGGATAAATGTTAAATTTTTTGTAAATGTCTTTTTGTAGAAGATAAGTGTGTGCAAATTTGTTTTTTAAGGGTCCCATTAAAGGGTTTATTATGTTTATGTGGCGAGTTAGGAGGCCCTCTGGTGGATATAGTGCAGCCATGACACACACACACCCATTGTACACTTTCCCACTGCCCAGACTGGACCGTGCAACTGCTGAGCTCACATTCTTTCACTTTCTCACTCTACTGTTCAGACAGACACACACAGACCATCACATGCGTGGCCTGAAACAACTTCCAAATGTGCATAAGCTCCTGGGTACACAAAATAAAAGGTATACATCACAGAAATCTACCAGCAACTACCAGCAAATATGTAAGGAAGACAACAAACTGATAAGAAAGTTTACCAACTGAACAAACAGCTGATTATCTAAACACTGCTGCCACTCATAGTCTAGAAAATAAACCAAACAATATAATCAGTCGTTTTGTTTCCTGCCTATACGTAGAACGCCCCGGTGCCGCCTGAGCAGAGAGAGCAGTAGCAGAGCGGAGAGAGGGGGGAGAGCACAGCAGAGTGGGAGTGAGGGACGAGAGAAGAGACGGGGGGGAGAAACACAACTTACCTGCTGTTGTTGCAGATGCAGTAGCTCGACTGTGCTTACTTCGCTGCTTGTGTCACCAGCGCTTGATCTCCCATCTCTACTGCCAGCCTCTAATTGGCTGCTGCTTAGGGTGCTCATTCCATTTTGACTCATTGAACTGTTGCTTATTGTCTCTGTGGCCGACTCCTGCATCATCATGATTTAAAACCTAGAAGTGATTAAGAGGCACCGGTTAGGGCTCTTCTCGTTACAATTCCCACCCCCCATTTCTTTTTTTTTTTTTTCCCCCTCCGATTTTTTTTTTCCTCCTCTTTTCTTTTCTTTGCACGCGTCCATTATCAAGCCCTCAGTCCCCCTTTGCAAATTAAAGCATTTAAAGAAAAGGGAGGGGTACGGGGGGGATGCAGGAGAAGCAATTATGCATTCATTGTGTAAATGAAGCAATACAAAGACATGCATGTCCTGGTCCTTTCTAGAAACGGGGAAAAATTGTATCAAAAATGTTTAAATTTAGTAAAAATAATTACAAATAAAAAGCACCTTATTGAATTGTTGCTAAGGTAATGACGTTATTAAAAACTGTTGGTTTTAATTAAAGCTTTATATTGGCATCTTTAAAACAGTAGCTTCAAACACAGATTTTGGACGGTTCAAAAGAAGTAAACTAATGATGGAAGCTAATCATATTAAATTAAAATTTGGCAGTGGCAGGACTAGAAAGAGGAAGCTCCAAATAACATGGTGCAGGGCTGGTGATGAACACTATAATAGGTTTGTCATCCTTACTCTGGCTAAATAAAATCTGCCTTGCAGGGTTCCATAGAGGAGGAGTGCTCATATTTCATTTATTGGCGCCTTTTTTCCCCTCTTTCTTGTTCTTTAATCAAATCTTATATAGCCTTTTTTTCCCCTAATTTATTCTAAAATTGTGCCCTGATCCCTAAAGTTAAAGAAATAATACATAACTGTATTGTATGTAGCTGTAACTAAATAAAACTGTAAATAAAATAAAACATTTAAAGTTAAATCTAATACCTTTTACATGGGAAATTAGAAGGTTAGGTTACTAATAACTGAGCTAAAAATAACATTAATTATGCATATAACCGCCTGTCTTTTTAGCAATAAATGTTTTATAATCCTTCCCAACATTTAATACTAAGTACACGCTGTAAGGAGCTCCACTAATATTCGACAGTTTTGCAATATATGAGAGACTCAGATGCTTAATAAAATATAATGCAGTTTTATGATCTCTCTATGCAGAGCATATTTTAATGTTATAAACTAATATTTGAAAATGTGTAATTACAGTTTTAAATGGTGTTTCGCATTGTGTGTATTTTCTGGCCTGTAAATACGGTTTTAATAGAAGTGTGGACACGTCCTTCTGTGTGTTTGCGTGTGGGTGTGTGTGTGTGTGTGTTTGACAAGGGGCAGATACAGGACAGGCCCTAAAAGATGTCCACAGCCAGGATAAACAGGATCTACGGAGGGAGAACAAACAGGGGCTGAGCTATTACACAGAGCAGGGCGACAGCTGTCCAGGACACAAGTAAATAAGGGAAGAGGCCAGGACAAGGCGTGCTTGTGAACAAACAGGGCCCCTGTTTAACACCGAGCCGCTTACTGCTGATGGAGAAAGACGCGGTGAGAAAAGACAGAAACAGAAAAGACAGGAGGAGGAAAAAGAAGGAGAGGGAGCGTAGAAGCGAGGGGGGTGACAGAGAGAGAGACAGTGGGAAGGAAAATAAGGGAGGTGGTGGCAGGGGAGGGGGTGTGGAGGGGAGGGTGGTGCGGATGGGGGGGGGGTTTGGATTGGCACAATGTGACATCCAATCCGGTGATGAATCTCAGCATAAGAAACTCAAGGCTGCAGCCGAGATCAGCCGGCTAATAAGTATTCAAATTAGGCATAAATTTTACATGCCCAATGTTTAAAATATTCAGAGAAAGACTGTCTGATTGCCTTTACTACCATTTTATGAACATTCTAATGGAGCTCGGATCTCTCCGTTTTTTTTTTGTGCTTTCTTTCTTAGGCCGACACGGAATGTTCGGAAAACTTGCAAGATATATGAGACAAGGAAATAAGGATTTTTAATATCATCTGAATAGAGGCAAACCAAGAAAAAAAAAACTACTGGGATTTTTATTATGTGCTTACTCAAAAAGGAAAAAGTTAATGTCAAGGAAAAGAATAATCATTTACATTTTTTATAAAAAAAAATCTACAATCTTATCTTCTCAATCCAAAATGAAATCTGTCTTTTATGGCTAGCTGCAGCTTCATGATAATGCAGATATATGCAAAACATATTCGCAGAGATCAGATGGTGCTTTAACCTTAATGACAGCGGTGAGATAAATTAATTAGCCATCTAAAGGCTGCATTCAAATCTGCCAATTAGAATGTCAATTAGGAACACAGCCAGGCTGCAGTGACGAGGGCTAACCGAGCCAGGGATCTGACTGGGGGTGATGAAACTGTCACACAATGCACACAAGAGGCAGATAGTGACAATCCTGAGGATGTAACTGCATGAAGTACAGATCTGTGTTTTCATCTGATGGGGTACCGGAACTGACCAGGGCACAAACTGCTCTTAAACCACTGGATTGGAAAAGACCACAGTGTTTTCCAGGGTCCTGCATTTCATCACAACTGCTTTTTCATGCCATTTCATCTGAAACCATAATCTTCCAATGAGCAAGAGCCTAGACCAGTTATTATCATGATCAGATGCTGAGAGGAAGGCTGATATTACCTGGGAACACACTGGTGATGCTGTAGCTGTATCTCTAATGGAGAGGAGAATATAGAGATGGTGACACAAAGGTAGTGGGATGGGAAGCAGATGGTGTCACTAAAGACGCACCAATCAACTGATTAGAAATCAGAATACACAATTTTTTATTTATATAATAGATGTAAATATTTTTTTTTATTAATAAAGATTTTCCAAAACATATAAACTTATTGCATTTGTACTCTGATACACTTTTTCATTTCCATTTAAAAAAAGTTTTAAGATAGGAATATGCTTCGTTTAAGCGGGTAAAACTTGTTATTCTTGATTTTCTATTTTTGCAACTGTCATAAATCTTTCAAAGACAAAAAGGCAGAATAATGCTGTTATGCACAGACTTTAAGCAAGTAAAATTTCTATGAACAAAAAGTTATCTTCCTACAGTAAAATTGCAATTAAATTGCATTAAAGTAGTATGATAAAGGCTTTGATGCAACTACAATTACCACAGACAAATGTTAAGTGTATAAAATGGTAATAACATTATATTATGAATGATCTACATAAATGTAGGTGTTGCCTTTCAATTTGTTTATGTTAAATATGAGGGATGCATGAAGTGCTTCCTGATGAGGTGTATTGCATTTTTTTGTCCATGTATCTAGGCTTATCAGCTCGATCCTAAAATGTTGGAAGAAGTGGGAGAATTTCTGCTGTTTTCCAACAAGTGACACAACAAAGGTTTAAGGAAAATTGAACCTTTACTCCCACACCAACCTATCATTAAAGGGTAAAAGAAGCAGCCCTCCATCTTTGTTTGCAAGCTCTAAAAGCCCTTAATGTAGCCTCATTACCTGGCCTGTCTCCTGCTCTATCATGTGCCGTAAACACACACCGTGACACTGACCATCCATCTAGCTAGAGAGCGCAGCTGTCTGCTCCGAGAACACCGAGGAATTTACCGTGATCCTGTGTTAACACACTGCTGCCCTGACACCGGTTTCATCTCCAAGACATCCATATTTTTCGGCGTAACGACATTCTCCATTTCCGTATTTCATATGCATGAGTTGCCAAAAATATTTTTTTTTGTACCGAGGAATAAAAGAAAAAAGAAAAGGAAAAAAAAAAGTGACCTGTAAACCCGTGATCCCAGACGTGTGTTCGTTATCGGTTCACGTTTCAGGTGGCTGCCGGGAATTCTTTTGGGATTGAAGAGATCAAAACAATAAGAAAAGAAAAAATAATAATAGAAATTACATTTCACACTCTGATGACTCCCCACAGCTCTCTGATCAAGCCAAGATATGGTTACCATTTAAAGTAATCACAGATTCTTTGCTTGAGTGAAATTAATTCATCATTGCCATAAGTTACTGTGCATGCAAAATAAAGAAGTAGCTCTGCAAGGGCAAGAGCTCACATATTTAATACTTGAGATTGCTTAATAAATCAAAATGCCATACATGCACTGACAAAAAAGAGTTGAAGAGAGAAATCCAGAACAGCCTGAAACTTCAAGAAATTTACTTAAATTTTGATTTTCACTGTTTGTTTCAGTTATTCTTTTATTTTTGCAGCATTCCACAAAATACAAATACAATTCCTAGATGTTTAGAATGTAGAATTAAAATGGAAAAACACAATTCCCTCAGATTAAGTAAGGGAAAGACTGCCTGCTGCACCTTAGAATTAAAAGCTTCCTTTTTGGCACTAAAGGACCACCATAAAGAAGCATTAATGACTACTTCTTATAAACCTGTGTACGGTAATGGTTTCTGCTCACAGATACAGGAATTTCAAAAGTGCTTCACTGGTGAATAAAGATTACTTTAGAGGGTGGGGGGGAGAAAGAAAGGAGCTGAAGAAATCATATTTACAAAATCTGGAGTGAGGGCCAAATGAAAAGCGATGAATATGAATAATGGACTTTGCCTTTTTTTTTTTTTATGCCGGATTAACATTATTCAAAGCAACAGAATCAAATGTGGTTATCTCCTGTCCAATGAGCCCTGCATTGAGAAAAAACCACAGTCATATTTCAATTCTTCATTTGAGCCCTGACAATAAATCGTAGTTCTGTGATAGGAGACATTCAGTGGAGAATGTTCAGAACTTAATTCTCTTCTATTTACAATAAGGAGATGAGACAGAATAAGATAAAAGGCGGACTATTTGCCACAGTGTGCACGAGTCTCTGAATGGATGTGCGGGGATGAGTCGGAGTCGGCGTTCCAAGAGAACAGAGAGGGGGGAAAAAGTGACAAAGAGAAATGGAGGAAAGTGTATAAAGTGTGGTTTCAAATGTACGGGCTTCACAATGTGTCTTTATGATCAAATGTAAGAGGAGCTGATGGATCATATGCATGATACTGTTGGAGAGAAAATTTAATGTTCAATAAATATCGCTGAAATAGGTTTATTAAGAAAAAAGGTGAAGGATAAGAACATCGTTTAATGCGGTAAATAAAGATAATCTTGCATTTCAAAGCTATAGCATTAGTTTTTATGAAAAGAAGCAGGACATATTTGCTTTTATTTATAAAAAAAGGCAGAAAGGCAAACATTTTACCAGTTAAAAACAATATCTGGTTTTCTGTGTAGCCTTAATCGGCGCTTGCTGGTGGTCAAACATTTCTTTTCACCAAATCAAGCATTTAAACCATCACAGTTAAGAAATGTCCAATTTCAACTGAATGTATCAGTCTACAGTGTGAGCTCTGTGGCGAAAGCTTTTAGTTGAATGAAACAATGAATAAATGTACGAGACATGCTTTGACGCATATGTGGAAAAAAAAATGCAGTTTTTTCATTTTATTGTACGCTAAAGTACTAACGCGATTAAAAAGCAGGAGCAGTTTTTTTTTCCTCCTTTGATGTGTCGCAAATGTAACAAAAAAAAAAAAAAATCTGTCAAAATCGGAATTGACTCGTCTGACCTCAGTGAAAGGCAGAAATCGGTAGCAGCCAGGAAAAGTCTAAATGGTGCATGTTAGATATAAAAAGGAAGAGAAAATGTATGTTATATGGAGTTGGGGTGTAGCAACAATGGCATAGAACAGAGCCCCAGCTGACAGAAAAAGAAAAAGAGGAGGAGAGAGATGAGTTTTTTTTCTTACATTTAGGCTCGTCCCATATCATTTACATGTTCCCCCGTCAGACACCACGTTCTGCTGAGGCAGGAGATGGCTGAGCAAGACTGTGACGAAGGCCGATCCGTCGGCTCTCATTTGCATATTTGCCAATTCTGTTAATTAACTCAACCCACCTAATCAGGGCTAATTGACCTATAAAGAGGAGAGGCCTCATTGTCTCATCCAATCATCTTTATCAGGAGTAGAGGAGGTTGCACTTGTGAATGTGCAGCACTTCCGACATAACTGTATTTATAGACCTTTTCTGAGTTGAAGTATTCCTCTCAGAAAAGACGTTTTTTTTTTTTAATTCTCTGAATGATCACAACTGAGCTGCTTTGACGCGGAACAAGACCCGGATAACAAAACGAAGTGTGTGGACAAATTCCCTTCTGAGAAGAGCAGAGAAAAATCAGAGAAGGTAATGACAGCTGGATCGCCTTGACTCTCCGGTCCCCTTTTTCAACAGCGGGGCAGATCCAGGGGACGGCTCCAGCTACAGAGACATAGCTCATTGTGACGTTTCCAGTTATTTCTGGTTGATTAGGGCTATTATGTCTCCGGCTCTGATTTATGTTGTCATTCCCTCTCAGCAGTCCTGCATCGATAGATCTTAATGAATTGGTAAATAAGGGTGAAGATTGCGCCTGACAACACCGCAACATTCCTCATTCATACCAGACAAGATTTATGTAACCAATTAGAAACATAAAAAGCAGGACGGGGGGTTTATTCAGGAGAAAAAAATGGAATAATCTTTCCTTTAGAAACTGAAAACAGATGAGCACTCCTTAACCTCCGATAAGTTGCAGATTTCACATTAAAGGTGAATTTATCTAGGTTTTTTTTTTTATTGCCAGGGTTAGACTAAACACCTGCTTTTCACATAATTTATAAGAAAAACATTTTTTGTAATCCAAAATTGTAAATAGGTAAAATCAATGATTAAAAATTGTCCCCGCAATGAAACCTTTACATGGAAATATTACACTGAAATAAAGCAGTAAAAATGTTGGATCAATGAACAGGTGTGCGAGGTCAATGTTTTACATTTCACTGATTAAAACGGCCATTTGCATTTTTTAATCAAACCACGTCTCAATTATTTGATTCTTGTAAAAACGTTGCTCCAGAAATCCTTTTGCGGGCAAATGAAAGCCCGCTTTGTAATCAAGAAAAATTTTCTGATAAAAGTGCTGATCATCAATGGCCGAGCGACAGGACAGGAAGACCCATAGGGCAAGTGTGAACAGAGGTGGAAAATTAAAGCGGAGTGATACGGCTCCTTTTCCAGCCTCCCTCCCTTCAAGCACATGCAAATGAGGCTGTGCTGCTTAACTGCATCATTTATGTGGATAATAGCGGCATCATCATTACGGGGGGAACTCAAATTAAATTACATCACAATTAGCATAGCAAAGTGATTGGTTAAACTTTCAAAACAAATAAAGCCGCACGACTAATGAATGGTGTTAATTGGCCAACAAGCATTCTAAATAAAACACGGAGGTAAACATGTGCTTTAGTTAAACAAACTTAAAATTCTGTTGTTTAAAAAAAAAGGAGGAAAAATGGAGAGTTTCATGAATTTCATGAATACTGCTAGTGGGATTTCTGAGTCAAAATTCAAAATTGTAGCATTTAATTTTATTGTGCTAAATAACCTATTATAAGCTAGACTCTAGAGAACAATGTAAATGATCTGCCTTCAGAATGGAGTTTGGCCAATTCTCCGTGTGAGCTAATCACATAGCTCATTATGCATTAGGGTATTAAATTATGAAGAAGAGTCCCTTTCGCATTCCTTCACAAAGCCCTATGAAATGTTAATAATATGCCCACAATAGCCCAATACCGAGCCTGGCTCATACTCATCAATATTTAAGTAAACAAATGATCCCGCTCACCTTTGATAAAGATAATTAGCGCTCCGACCATGAACAGTCTGGTGACCTCTTGCCTTTTTTTTAAACTAAACAGCTGTTTCTAAGAGTTTGTTTTTTTATTTGTCTCTGTCCACCAAAAACAAACAAGTCAATTTTTCAGCCCTTTAAAAACACTGATAATTTAATCTAATTCAAAAACATTTCTTTTTTTTTTAAGTGGTTATCTTACGCTGGAAATAGCAACACCTGATTTAATACGAGTGCAGAAAGAAAAGTCACATTCATGCAATCACACAGCCACATTAGTGCACGCACTCGTGCGCACACGGACGCACACACTACAGCAATTCATCAGCACTAATTAAGCAGCAGATTAACAGAGCCCGCAGACGGAGGTTGAACCGCTCCACACTGGGACGACCAACGTGGGGGAAGGCAGCCCGGCAATAAAACACAGCCATTAAATACAGTCAAGAGCCTGGAGTCGACTACGGATGACAGAAGATTGATGGGTGGATGACCAGAAGGATAGACGGATGGATCGATGAAGGGATGGACAAAGTGGAGTGTGTATGACCTTATCTTTTTCCCCTCTCTCTCACTCTCTCTCTCTTTTTTTTTTTTTTTTACCTGAAGTTGAGGAGTGTCAGAGATCTTGACCAGACAACAGAGAACTCGCCTCTGCCACCGGCGGCGAGGGTGTCTCGCAGCGACGCCCGCAACTCGACTGGTGTCACCGTGTGAAGAGGCAACACTATCTGTGTCATCACTTCAGCCGTGTTTATGGGGGATAGCATCATAAACAAGCCGCCTCCCCCCCCCCACACCACCACCACCAACACCACCACCTGCACCACCTCCCCGCCCTAGTTGTACCCCCCACCTCTTGCTCCCTCGCTCTCTCTCCCCTCCTCTTGCCATCTCACTGCCACTGTGCCATTCATGCATACTTAAATCACCCTTGCCCTATTAAAACAGAAAGAAAGACTTTCGTGACAATTATTCTATAATTTCCAGTTGTCAGTGGGGCGATTTTAGATGGGGGGCCCCAGAACAGGTCAGACATGCAGGCCCCAAAAGAAGAGGCTCCAGTTTGGAGAGGGGGAATAGAACAGGAGGGGGAAGGCAGAGGATCTTTCTTTACACACTGAATATATTTAGACAATTTCTCCAACAAGCCACTGATGAACTTTTACATTTATAGGACAACTTCAATTTCCCCTTCAAAAATATGTATTTTTTTTTGTTTTGTTTTTTGCAATTGTTTGAACAACCTTGACATTTATTTAAACTTTTTTTTTATTTAAATTAAGAAGAAAAAAGGTTTAAAAAAAAAATCAGTATAAGAGTGAATGAGAGGACTTCCAGGTGCTCTCTGAATGTGGGTGGGTCCTGTATGTGTGTGTGCGCGCGAGAGAGAGTGTATGAGCAGAGCTTCACATGTGGGCTGCTGTGACTCGTCGGAGGATGCTTGCCGGCTCTCTGCCTGCAAGGTCTCACTGTTCCGATCACCCATCTGCCTTACTAAAGTAAAAAAAAAAAAAAAAGGTGTTTCTTTATCTCGCTTGAATATGTGGACTGGCTCTTGAAACAGGGGGACGGAGACAGAAGCAGGGCTGGAGGGACGCTGCTAAGAGAGGTGCAATCGCCGCAAAGGTATGTGTGTCTGCCTCTATTCTGGGGCTCATTCGGAGCTTTTCTTTTCAGTCCTGATTGTGCATAGGTCAAAGTGTGTGTGTGTGTGTGTAAAGAGTCTGAAAAGGATTAGTGAAAGGCTGAGCGTCAGTCCGCGTCCTACACTGAGCTCTAGCAGAGAGTAAAGAGCACTTTAAAACAATTAGCAACATCACATCTGTGCATTTCCAACCTGCTCGCTGTCACAAAGCACTATGAGTACATGCCAAAAAAAGAGTCACATAAGACAAAAACGACCTACCTTTTAAACAACCAGTGAGAAATCCACTCTCCTCAGTAAGAAGCATTTGAAGAAGTATTCTTAGAAACCTGATGGCATTACTGTGTCAAAAAAAAAAAAAAAAATGAAGAGACAGTCGCAGTAAACAGAATGAAAAGTAGTGAAAAAGAGAGGAAAAAAATGTAGAGAGGGCAGCTAGCTGGCGCTTACTGTCAAAGACATCACCAGAGAAGTATTTACGGCCGTATTTACAGTAGTGCGCGGGGAGAGCACCTCTGCCTGGTCACGTCTGAGAGACAGTTGCCGTTTCAGCGCTGCCTAATTAAAACAAGTCAGGCAGCCCCGCTGGATTGTTTTGACGCCTGAGGACCAATAGTACACAAAAACCAGTGGCTTGATCGGGGGGGTAGGGGGCGGGGGGAGGAGGAGGAGGGGGGGGGTGCGCGGGGGGGGAGGCTTGTCGTGGGGAGCGGAGGAGAGAGGGCGGAGGGTGGCGAGAGTTGGCAAAGAAATAGTGAGAAGGAAAGAGGCGGGAGGGATGAGGGGGTTCTGGAGGAATCTGAAAGGGGAGGGAGACTACAAAGGTTGAAAACTGCACGGGGAGACCACCACATGCAGCGTGCATGCACTTTCTCCAAGACAAAATTCTAAAGTGACGCTTGAGACTTCTTTGTCAGTCTAAGGACTACCATCTGCACATACAAAGCCTTGATAAGCGCAAAAAAAACCACCAAAAAACTTTTAAATGACTGTCAGAGAAAGTGTATGAAAAAGGTAAGGTTGAATATTTCAAACACTTATTGTGATTCTAAAGATTCACAACTTGAATTTTAATTCAACACTGATACTGATTCACGTCGGTATCTTTCACAAGAACTGGATAAGTGGATTGAACTACGATGCAATGATGTGTTCCGTCCACTGTAAGCAAAACACAACGGGCAACATTTAGGGGCTAATGGTATTTGCCGATTCTTTTGTCACTTTTTTTTCCTTCTCTCTCCCTCTCCCTTGCATGCCACAGATGTTTTTCTTAGACGCTCCAACAGACAGGAATCTACTGGCAAGAAGAAAGCCCCGGTCTTCCCCGCGAGAGTACAAAGCCCCCCAGTCTGCACACAGCAGATGCAGGAAAGCTAGTCCATCTGCCACCAGCTTGCTGAGCCACATGGGCCTGAGAGCTTTAATGAAAGTGGGGAGGGGGGGGACATTTATTTCTTTATCTCCAAAGGTCTCTATTATTTACATAATAGAAAAAAAGTTTGGAACAAAATCACTGCATCCATCACTGGATATACAAACAGAAATATCTAATGCATTTACAGCATGATTTATTGTAATTATTGAAAACAAAAAAGATTAAAGAATTCCTACTGCTAGAAAATTATGTTAAATTAATAATTTTTATGGGATTATTGCTTCTAACAATAGCAAATAATTAAAAGTTTTATTTTACTGTTAATAAAGAAAATATTTTTGAACAAATCTCTGCTTTTGATGCCTTTTTTTTGCCTCCAGGAAGTATTACCGAATTTTTCATGTTTTTTAGCAGTTAAAATATGCAAAACCCTTTTCTCAGACAGCTCAAAAGTGCAACACAGCAACAGGTAAGGGAGGGGCAGAGCTACATTCCCCTCTGTTCAGATGGAGAAAACTTTGGTCACATCCTCTTTCTTTTCTTAGCATCCCACCAAAATGTCTTAAAATTACAGAAATAGAGTATTTCGGTGCATCGTTGACACAATTCAATATCAGTAACCAGCCCATGTCCATATGGATTTATTAGAAGTATAAAAAAGGTTAAACACCACTTTACCTCCAAGCTCTGAGCTGTGCACTAGTATGATTTAACAGGCTCTGAGTAGTACATTATCTCTGCGGCCTTGCTGAGGCATATTTCAGCTGCATGATATTATTAAGAGCCGTAACACAGACCAAAAGATGTAGCGTTTTCATTAGTGTCAACCGTCAGAGCTCTGAGGTGGAGGGGATAAACACTAAACAAGCACGGCAGAGTGAGAGCGTGAAAGAGTCGAGGAGTTCAGGGCAGGGAATCAAAAGGGGCTAACATTAAAGAACTACTGTTAATTGCTCTAAGCATCAACATTATTCAAGTAATTTCTCCCATTTCTCTTTCAGTGCCAAAGGCGTAAGACTAGAAAGCTCCCCAGTAACATTTGCTCCTCTAAAGGAGGAGGAGTGGGAGGGAGGGGGGGGGGTTGTTATGCCCATTTCTTCATATTACCGACACTGTGTGCATCCCCCCCCCTCAGGTGGTTATTCCCTCCATGACTCCTCTTCTGGGGTTTCTGCTATCAAGGTCAAGGGATACAAGCAGGCCCGACGGTGCATCGACGAGGTGGCAGCAGAAAAAAATGGGGGAGACAGACAGACAGACAGACATGCGGAGTATGTACAGTGAGGAGGGGGTGGCGGCAGCTGGTTCACAACCTTGGCAAGAGCAGCAGAAGCGTCATGACAACGGCAGTGGAGGATGTTGACTTCCATCTCGTTTGAATACAGTGATTTCAGCAGTTTGCACTCACAACTACTGCGACGTCTGAAACCATTTTCAATTAAAGCTACAACAAAGTGAATTGCTTTAGGGTAATTAGATACAGACAAGCGGAGCCGGTTTCCCCATCACTTCAGTATACAAGATGATAAGAAGAATGCACTGAATATTTCAAGATAAATAGTTAAAGCATTTAATTGGTTAAGCTGCTCAGAGGATCCGAAGTCCATAGAAATGCACCTAGAATGCATTACTAGATCACTGAATGCAACATCCTGGACCACAAGATTGTAAAGACAACACTGTTACTGGGTAACAAATGTATCCATTTTTAGAGTTAGGCTGTGTTTAAAGAGGAAGTCAGGTAAAACACAAACACTGTTATATTTTTCCAAGTGACGTCCAGATGTGTCTGGCTACAGTTACACTGGTTCTAGATTGCACTGGCCCAGCCTCTTAAAGCTTTCAATCTCAATATTATTGAAGTGTCCGTCTTAGATACTGCTGGTTTTGGAAATGTCTGCAAAAGTTTAGAGATTTTAAGAGTTAAGGTAAGAGTCTCCTAATTTCCGTCATATTTTTTCTTTTATCTTGGAATAATGATGAATGCTTCAAACAGTAAGTCTTTCCTCAGCTACACAGTGTGACGTCAGCTCTGATCCTCCACAGCGGGAAGGATAGAACATTTTATTTGGACTGCTGCTCATTCTAGTTCTTGCAGAACACCCAGAATTAGTGAAATTAGAATCACAAAGTTAAAGTTTTATGAAAAACTGGACATTTGAAATTGGTCACAACATTCTCTGCTTAAAAGATATTCAGTTTCCCGTTTTTTTTTCCTTTCTGTATCACCTCACAAGAGGGAAATCCATTTACAAAAAAGGAAAAATCCACATTTATGGAACAGAACATGCCAAATTATTTTTTCCTCAATCAAATGTTTCCTAAGCACAACTTGTAATCATAAAAGTCCAGCCCACAAACACTACTACTAATATTAATAATACACCAAATAAGGCCTAATGGCTCAGAAGGGCTCTTTTAAAGTCCTGTTCAATGTTGATCACACAATATGTTGCTTATGGCCACAAAGCAGAGGCCATTACAGACCGGTGATTATATAAGTGGTTGGAAGGCAGCACCATTTTAATATACTGTACTTAAGCACCAGGGTATCCATGGCAACTTGCACTTTCACCGTGCATTCAAAAATCCCTAATGAAATGTCTATTAAGGGGATGATAATGACAGTGTCCAAATATATTTGCATATGTGTTTCAGTAGGAAAGGAGAGCACATAATGAAGGTAGATGGGTCCCTGATCACTGCAATGATTTTTTTGTGTATTGTCTGTGATTTATTTGTTATGTTTTAACTGTAGAAGTAATAAAAACCTTGAGTAATTCTACTAATACTTGTGTGGATGATTTTTTGGGGGGGTTTGAGAGTGTGAATTGAGCCTTCATTGCCTTCATCTTGATATCTCCACATGTGACTCCCATTTGCGTCTTTGGCGGACTGCCCAACAGGACATCCCTGAGGGACTGTTTGCTTGACTCAATATCAACAGTCTTAGTAAGCAGCTAGGGGAGGAGGGGGACAGGCTTGTGTTCCTATTGAAAATAAACCAAGCTGTACTTTCACTAGGCCCAGAAATATCAACACACGCTGCAAGGAGCCGTGCCCAGCGCTCAGCAGCGCTCCGCCCGTGTTTTTTCAAGGTTTACGATACCTGCACCTCCCCTCCAGCTGCTTCTGCCGACACACACAGACAGCAGGTGGGCGGGAATTAAAGTATACATTACAGCAGAAAAATAAAAGAGATCGAAATGACAGAAGTCAGGCGGTTCAAGCTGACCCAGCCTCTTGAAACGAAGGAGCTGCGATACGAGCGACAGGCACTTCAGGTTAAATTGGCACTCCTGCTACCTCTTCTTATTTTCTCCACCACCACAACTGGCCTCAAAGCCAAACTCCTACTTAAAAAAAAAGGCTTTTCTTCAAAAGCATATTTGAATTAAATGAGTTGCTGAAATCAAACGCTAAGCTGAGATGAATACATTTAAACAAGCAAGCGAGGCTCACAGCAGTTTACCTGTTATAAAGAAGATGGGAACTGGATGAAAGTGTAGAGCAACAAGAGCTTACATTATTTCATAGTAGCTGATAGGATGTGGTAAGAATGGCAGCAGATTAATTATCTTCTGAAGGAAAGCACATAGCAATCATTTTTTTTTCAGGGATATTTTTGTGTTTTCTTTGCTTCTAAATCTAGTAAATTCAAACCTGCCACTGGCTAAATGCAGGTTAATTATTGGTTGCATTATAACAGCATTTAATTTCTCCCCCCGACTGTTGGAGGCAGTATAGCACCTGAGCTGCAAATGCCATTTTCAGCAGTAGATCTACAAAGTAAAAAGGTTTGCCTTGACAACCAAGAAATGGTGCTAAAGCTAAAAGACTGGGATTATTTTTAATCAGGCTTGAAAAAGACACAATTGGAAGAAACATGATAGGTTGGTTTTCAATAATGATTGATATTTTCTTTATTTGAACCTTCACAACCTTTTCTACCATCTCCCCAAACGCCAGACGTCATCTAGATGGTGGTTTTTAGGCTTAATCTGGTCGGTTCTTCATAGTCTTGATTTAGTCCAGAAATAGTTGTTGAAAATTGGGTATTTGGTCAGTCTCATTTTGTCCCAATTTAGTCCAATAATAGACGTTGTAAACTCCATTTTCAACATCTTTTTCATGATCTGAAAATTTGATTCAACCTTTCACTTTTAAACCAAATCTAAAAGTCGTTTAAACGTAAATCATGTCATCTTTTCAATGTCTTTTCAACCAGTTTTTGCTTGGTGGGATATACAACACACAACTAATGACTCAAAATGTTCTATAAATGATTCATTTCTGATGCAAGACAAGAACAAAGAAAATTCAACACGTCCTAATATTTTAGGATGTTGTTCTTGAAACAAATTATTAACCAATGTTGAACTTTTCCAAAACATACTAGGGCGTTCACCAAAAAAGTTGGCTTGTTGATACGTCAAGTTAATAAAGCTAAGTCGACTCATATCTGGACGACTTGAAAGTTACACACCCCCCCTGCATGGCTGCAACCCTGCCCCGACATAATGTGATGACGTCATAAGATGAAGCATCGACTTGACTTCCATTTTTACTGTCAACTAGTCAAAATCACAACCTGTTAACAGCCTAATATATGCATTTGATTTCAGTGTATTTTAGTTTCCTCTCGTAGTGTTTTGTGGTCATTTCATCTATTTGCCATTTTAAATGTTTGTAGCTTTCTGTTACCAAATGAAGTCATCTGTTATAGGACGATGTTATACCAAGAAAAGGTCAATTAAATATTTTATCCATGCTTTGAAAATTTAGAATTTATATAAATTTTCTATATTACACTGTTAGTCTGCTGAGAAGAAATGTAGGTATATGACAAAAACATAGATCTAATAGTAGAAAGTCCTTCTGAGGTATTTTCAAATGAACACGGTTAAAAATCAAAAGAGTTAACTGACACAGGAAAACACTAAGAAAAAGGGGGGATGTAATAAGCAGTAATGGTTAATAGCTCTGGAAAGGTTTGTTTTGTAGATTTGATATGGAAGTGAAAGGCTAAAGTACATATTGCTAATTTTGCCTTTAAGAAATTAAGTACCAGACAGGAAATGTCAGGTGCAGAAAGTTTTAAAAAGTCAAGGGTTAATTTAAATCCTGCAGAGGGACTTACAGTAGACCATTGATTAAAAGTATTTTTTTTTTGTATTGATATATATATTTATATTTTTTTTATCAAGCTTGGCCTGTTTTTCAGTTTAGTCCTGTTTCTCTGACTGTGACTAACTGTATGTGCGCTCTTTCATCCTCTGACATGGAAGCTGGCTCAGCCCTCATCTGCCTGGCTGTGTGTTTCCTGGACGGAGCCGCCTGTGAAGCTGGTTGACAGTTGCCTTTTGTGTCTCTGCTGCTTTTTGTATGTCTGCTTCTGTCTCCTTGAACCCCAATCGGCTGGAGGCTTCTTCCTGTTAAAAGGGAGTTTTTCCTGTCCACTGTCGCCACAAGCATGTTTAGTGTGAGGAAGTGCCTTTGAGTCAATGCAATCAACTTGTTTTTCTTAGACAGAAAACTTTAAATCAATTTGACTGTATGATCTAGTTGAATTGTCTCTGAAAAGTATAAATATAAACATATAAATAAATATATAAATAAACTGAATTTAATTCAATTGATATTCTATTCATAGCTGAATGCACGGAATGTAGCAGGAGGCTGGTTAAAGTTAAGAGTGAATTTTTATAGAAGATAGCTTCCCTAAAGACATTGTGTTGTTTGCAAAACATAAAGTTTTCAGAAAGTTTTAGAAATAAAAAAAAACATGAAATGTAAATATTTCCATGATTATGAATACATTCTACCTTGCTACAATCTGCAGAGGAAACTTAAGTGATACACACTGGTTTCTATTCCTTTGGTTTGAAATGGTCAGTTGGTGAATCAGATAATCTACAAATGTATTAAGTACAAATTTTGAAAATATTCATAAAAAAGCTAAATGACGTGGACCTTATGTTAATGCAACAAATATAAGAAAAAATGTCTTAACTGTCATGAGAATAGTGCTTATAAAATATTTGAGTGACTGATGCAGATTTTCTACCAACAATAACAGTGGCTGTGGGAAGAAAATATTAATTTCCAATGCTGCTCTAAT